CTAGCCTTTACCATTTTCCTTGGCTCTCTCAGCTTCTCCTCTGGTGGGAATGGAGTTTTAACGATGTCTCAACACTTCCACCTGCTTCCCCTTTGCACTCATGGTAGGGACAGGGCTCAACTGAGCTCACAGCCAAGGTTTCTGAGTAGTGTCAACACCCTCACAAGATAAACATTGCTATGGGATTCTGAGAAGAGTGTGTCAAAGGTGACTCTTAGAAATCCCCTTTAAGGGAGCTCTGGTGGCCTACTGGCAAGACGCTGCACTGCAATCCCAGAGGTACGCGGTTCAAATTCACCAGATGCTCTGCTGGAGAAGGAGGGGGCAATCTCCTCCTGTACCAGTCAGATCAATGGTACACGTAAAAATAATACAATAAAAAATTTAAAAAAAAAATCCCCTTTATTTATAGTCACAAGCCACAATTGGTTATATGTTGGTTAGTAAAGTGGGAAAACCAGGTCTCTTTGTGCTTAATAATTTGGTGACATAGAGAAATTTCCAGGATTCTTCTGAATTTCAGCTTCCTGCAAAATGAGAGATTAATTGTTGATATGTTTCTGAAAGGACACATGCTTGAAGACTAAGGAATAGTTCTATTCCACATACATGAGACCATGAAGAGTCACAGCTGACTCCACAGCAGCTTATTTGACTTAGTTTGGGGTCTTTTAGGCACTATAGAAGGTTTATGTTCCCTCATGTATGTAGTTAACTTATCCACAGGTGTTGAGCAAGTTCTGACTTATGGTGACTCTCCAGTGGATTTTCAGAGACTAACCTGCATGGAAGGAGATTATCCATCTTTCGCCTATGGAGCAACTACTATATTTGAATCATCTGCTGTTGGGTTCTCAGTGCAAACTCTTAGCCCTAAGCAAACAGAGCTCCCTGGCATACAATAGGTGCTAAATAAACTCTATATTGCACATCTTTGCAGGGGAAAACTGCTCATATTTCTCCTGTGTAGTGGCTGCTGGTCTTGAATGGACACCATTTTAGTCAGCCATCCAACATGCAGCACGCTACGTCACAGATTCCCTTACAATGTGCACAGTGCAGGCAGACAATGTTGTTATGCACCATCAAGTTGGAAGTGGCTTGTACTGATGCTGCAGCAGCTTTTCAGAGGTTATAAATCTCACAGGAGGAGACTATCCGTTTTGGATTTTAATTACCTGCCTTTGGTTGTCAGTGCAACTCCTTACCACTAAGCAAACAGAGCTCCCCCGCATAAAACATGCACTAAATGAGTTCTATTTCTTATTTCTTTGATGTATAAAAAAGGCCTTGCCTGTTACCCAGCTGATAGAGTGGCCTGAGGTCAAAGGTTGTAAGCACAATTCCTTACAATTAAGTCACAGGAGCTCCCTGGTATATAATAAGTTGCTGTTGTTGATTGCCATTGAGGCGAGCATGACTCATAGAGACTCTAAGAACAAAAGACCCGACTTCTTCCTGTAACATCATTTATCAAAGTTCATAGAGTTTCCAGAGACATGTTCTTTTTCTATTCCTTGCTTGCTGGCAAATTAGTAATTTTCTTATTGCCTTTTCTTTTTTGTTTATCTCTTCACATTTTCTCTGTTCCTTTCTATTTCAGGCTAGAAGCAGATCTATACACTGACAGAAAGAGGAAACCCTGCTGGGAGTAAAGTGGAAGCAGAGACAGAGGTAGTGGTTCCACAGAGCGTCCTGCAAAGGCATTTATCATAAAATAGCTGCCTATGTCAGCTTATCTCATCACAGCCTTCTCGATGAGCTGGGAGCCACTCTCCAGTGTTGAGATGCTGAGATAGGAGGAGTATTTTGTGACCAAGAAGCATTGAGTGTGGAATAAAAGAACTGGCTTTCTGAGCCATGCTGCCTGGATTTAGGTCTAAAATGCCAGCATGGCAAACATCCCAGATAGGCTAGCACGCCACATACTTCATAGCCATTGAATGCTTAAACAGGAATTTCCATGCCATTGCTACATCAACAGGAGTTTAGTCCCAACGTGGAGGAAGTTGATTAAAATCTCCAGAGTGGCACGAATGTCTTTTTCTTCTTCTCGTACAATTAGAAATTAATCATCTCCTTTGGATTTCTTTTTGTGGCAAACTTCTTTATACACAGGAATAGTTTGCCTGTCTATTGCCAGTGCATTTGTTATGGAATAACAAAGTTGGGTATAAACTGCTTGGTTGTTTGTTTATATCATTAACAATCAAATGAAAGCTGCTTGGTCATTTGGATTTGGTTAACAATCACCTGTGGGCTGGAAGCTTCTGGTTTAAATCAATCAAGACCTGGTGGGCAGTCCTTTGTATTTAAAAGTCAATTGGGCCCCTGGGCCTGTGGCCCTTGGGCCTGGTGTTAATTGTGGTTGGGGAGAACATTGTTCTAAGTGGTACAGCACCTGTCTGTCAGTTTTCTGTGCTGAGCTAACTTGGGGTTCTGTGATGCCAAGGGCTGTGAAACTTGTGTGTCAAGTGCCATAAGGGTTACCTATGGTGAACAGGGTTTGGTAGAGCTCCCAGATTAGTACAGATTAGGAAGCAGGATTGGCATTCACTTTTTAAATAGCCTTCTGAAAACTCTATGAACACTAGAAGAATGAGGTGTGTCAGAGACAATGAAATTGGCTCAGGATGGAGCAGGGTTCAGAGCTGTTATACATAGGGTCACTATGAGTCACAGGCAACTCGATGGCATATAACAACAACAACAAGTACTAATTTAATTCTGCTTCAGTTTCTCACCATTTAGATCAAACAAATTACCAGGAAGAGTGGATTCTAATTCAATCTTGGCTCAGCACTGCTGTTTTCCCTCCAAAGTGTTCTGAGCATCTCCTGTGTTTTTTGCTCTGAGCTCTCTGTCTCTTTGTTCCTTCTCCAGAAGATGTGAGACTAATGCCCAGTGTGCACAAAAGGCCTTACCTACTCCTCAGCTGAAAGAGGGAGTGGCTTGAGCTCAAATGGCAAGCTCTGAAGCAGTGAGATTCCCAAAGGACCTCAATTTCAAGAGCACTGAAGGGGGTGTGTGTGTGTGTGTGTGTGTGTTTATGTGTGTGTAGACTTGCATATTCTGGAGGGAGACAAGCCCTATTCTGCATGCAGGAGTGTGTCCTTTAGTTAACACTGAAAAGTATCTTATTTCTCCATATGACCTTTAGAGGTTGCAGGCCTTGGCATGGAATAGCTTGTCTGCCCGCCTGATTTTTCTAACCCCATTTTAAGGATTCTCTTGGGCATATGAATGTTTGGGGGCCAGGTTATCTGTGCATTTAAAGGAATTAGCACACAGGCTAAAGTCCATCAAGTTGATTATAGCTCCTGGTGACCCCTGAGTTACAGGGTAGAACTTCCCCATCCGATTTTCTTGGCTGTAATCTTTAAGGGAGAAAAAAAGAATATCACTAGACCACATTCTGTGCTGCTGCTGTGTGGGTTGGAACTCTCAACCTTTAGGTTAGCAGACAAATGCAAATGATTTGTGCCTCCTAGAAGCCTTTCTGACCTCTTATGGTAGATGTGAAAATATATGTTTGTATGCATATAAACCCAGTGAAATGTCTTCTGGGAACAATCTCTTCACAGATACAGACTTCTCTTCTTGGACAGCCTGTCACCACCCACAGCTTCATGGGTTGTATGATTCTGTTGCCCAAAGAAGTCATTTCCTTCCTTCCCTCTGCTGCACAAGGAAGACCCCCAGCTCAGTGGCTTCTGAAGGAATTTGTGTTTTCCCAGTTGCCCCACATAGGACTTTGTCTTCTTCACTCTAGTTTGTATACCTGATCTGCATGTCTTGGTGCTACCTAGCCGTCGTGCACAAAGTAGGGTAACACAGCATAGAGGGGAAGCAGCTCTGGTCAGACTCTGACCCTGCCCTGTTCTAGCTGTGTTCAACAAGCTTCTTAGTGCTCACACCCTTAGGATTCCTCCCACTCAAAC